GGTGCCTGTGGTCCCAGCTACTCAGGAGGCTGAGGCAGGAGACTCGCTTGAGCCCAGGAGCTGGAGGTTGCTGTGAGCTGTGATGCCACAGCACTCCACCCAGGGTGACAGCTTGAGGCTCCTGTCTCAAAAAAAAAACTTACTGTACTTCATGCCTGTGCTGAAACTGAAGTTTCACACAGAGTCTAGGACTAGTTCTCCCTTTTCTTTCTTTCTTTTTATTTTATTTTTACTTTTTGCAATTTTTGGCTAGAGCCAGGTTTGAACCTGCCACCTCTGGTATATGGGGCCAGCACCCTACTCCTTGAGCCACAGGCACCGCCAGTTCTCCCTTTTCTTAAACTCAGTGTTCTGTGCATTTGATTAGATGACCTCTTAGTCTAAGTGCCCATTTTTGTCTCCTAAAGAACAACCATTCACCAGGTCTGCCCTGCCTGATATGTGTCTGGAGGCTCAGCTGGTACCTGTCCCTATCCTCTCTGTCTCCAGGATTGTGCACCTGTGCTTGCGCAAGGCTGACCAAAAGCTGGTGATCATCAAGCAGATCCCAGTGGAACAGATGACCAAGGAAGAACGGCAGGCAGCCCAGAATGAATGCCAGGTACTCAAGCTGCTCAACCACCCCAATGTCATTGAGTACTATGAGAACTTCCTAGAGGACAAGGCCCTCATGATCGCCATGGAATATGCACCAGGTGGGTCAACCTCCTTGCAGTGGCCTGGCTGCGGTGGCCTCCCACTTCTAAGACAAACAGGTCAGCCAGCTTCTCCTCCTTAGAATAGCCTTTCTGCTAAGGGTCAGAATTACAGAATTCTGGCTTGCTGCCTGTAGTACAGTGGTTACGGCACCAGTCACATACACCTGTGTTGGCAAGTTTGAACCTGGCCCGGGCCAGCTAAACAACGGTGACAACTGCAACAAAAAATTGCTGGGCGTTGTGGCGGGTCCCTGTAGTCCCAGCTACTTGGAAGGCTGAGGCAAGAGAATCACTTACGCCTAAGAGTTTGAGGTTGCTATGAGCTGCGATGCCATGGCACTTTACTGAGAGCAACATAGTGAGACAAAAAAAAAAAAAAAAAGTACAGAGTTCTGACCAGAAGTGGTGGCTCTCGCCTGTAATCCTAGCACTCTGGGAGGCTGAGGCTGGGTAGATTGCTTGAGCTCAGGAGTTGAAGACCAGCCTGAGCAAGAGCGAGAACCCATCTCTACTAAAACCAGAAAAACTGGGGCAGTGCCTGTGGCTCAAGGAGTAGGGTGCTGGCCCCATATACCGGAGGAGGTGGATTCAAACCCAGCCAAAAGCTGCAAAAAAATAAAATAAATAAAATAAAACCAGAAAAACTAGTTGGACATGGGAGTGCATGCCTGTAGTCCCAGCTACTTGGGAGGCTGGGGCAACAGGATTGCTCAAACCCAAGAGTTTGAGGTTGCTGCAAGCAATGGTGCCATGGTACTCTACCTACAGTGACAGAGTAAGATGCTGTCTCAAAAAACCTCCCCCAAACCAGCCTGAACAAGAGTGGGACCCCATCTCTACTAAAAATAGAAAAGCTAGCTGGGCGTTGTGGTAGGCACCTGTAATCTCACTACTCGGGAGGCCTAGACAAGATGGTTGCTCAAGCCCAAGAGTTTCAGGTTGCTATAAGCGATGATAGCATGGCATTCTACCCAGGGTGACAGAGTGAGACTTTGTCTCCAAAAAACAAAACCAAAAACAAACAAGAAGGCACTGTGGCTCAGTGAGTAGGGCACCGCCCCATATACCAAGGGTGGTGGGTTTGAACCCAGCCCCAGACAAACTGCAACAACAACAAAAAAATAGCTGGGCATTGTGGTGGGCACCTATTTTCCCAGTTA